CTCACATCTAGACTACTAATAAAAATTCTTGGACGGTTTAAAACATGAAAAAGAACATTAATTTATATACTCTTCTCATCGCTTCCTCGAATCCAACCTTTCATCTCTCCATCGAATTCTTCAACATGTCGTCTTCTACCACCCGCAAATACGCCGGTATCACCTCATCTCTCTCTCTCACGTAATTCGTTTATCAGTTTAATAGTTGTGCTTTGGGGCCACTTCTTGGTTTTATTCTTCTTGAGGGTTATTTGAGTAGGCCTATTCGATACCGTGAATCCTTCACTCAAAAGCTTTGGACATTAATTTTTCAATAATCGGCTTCTTTTTTCCCCCAATTTGCACGTTGCAGAAGAATCAATTGGAAAGCGTCTCTCAAACATCAACGTTGAGACGATAAAGTCGAACAAACTAGCTCTCCCTAAGCTTCTCTTCACTTCTCCAGGCAACACTAAGTATCACTTTGCACACTGCGGAGGAGAGGAGAGCAGGTTAAGTATCAGCCGAGGAATAGTAACTTGTTTCCATACGTTGAAAGACAAGTATTGTGAACTATTAACTTGGACACAGAAGCAGCCTCTACTGCATCCTCCGCCATCGGCGGTGTAGAAGGAGCTTTCGCAGGGTTTCTAGTCCATACAATGTTTCAGGCCTGCCTTGGCTCGCAAGCTGCGGTTTCACCCTAACCCCATGCATCTTTCTTCGATTATATATATCTTGTATTTCATGTGTGTTAATCATTCATTATATAGTCTCTTCTCCCGGCTTGGGGGCCATGGGTCACAGCTCGGAATTTTGGTGCCGCATTTGGTGTGCATTCTGGACTTTCCTCCACAATGATACATATTCGAGGCAAACCTGAACTTATGTCATCGTAAGTTCATTGATCCATCGTATTCACTTTTCCTATAACAAATGTTTATGTTTTGTTATCATCTCTTTTCTCATCACTTCGGGGCATAACAGCATGGCAGCGGCATCAGGAGCTGGATTAACATATTCTTTGCTCCTCAGAAGACCTACCAACAGCGTACTCGCCACTTGCCTTGGTTTTGCTGCTTTGAACGGAATAGGTTTTAAGGCAAGCCTTTTTACAACTAAGTAGATCATATTGTATTTATGTATCATACACCAAAGCATCTCATCTTTTCTTCTTTTTTTTCCCTCAGTTGGTAGAACCATATATACCGACCACCACCACCAGTCTAGAAAAATTTGAGAAGAATTTCAATAATGAACATCTAACAGATTCCGCCTTACCTCTCCTCACCGATAAGTAAGTGCATTTATATCTTGAGCTTTTGTTGTTTGTAGCAAGTAACTATAATATTAATGTCTTCTTGAATCCTAACCAGGTCACAAAACGAAGAAGTACAAATTCAGTCGAGCAACACCAGGGAGGATTGGATTAAAACTCTTTTCAGAATTGTAAAATTGCTTCGGCAGATTCTGAAGTTATCTAAGTCGCATTATGGCTATTAAATAGGGTTTTCCAGCCATTGTTTTGGCTACCACAAACATATCTAATGCTTTTGAAGACCTAGTTTTTGAGGGAGCCAGTTTAGACTCTACCACTTTGAGAATCATTCTAACCTTTTTATTTATTTCTCTATCATTTTAATGCAATTTTATTTATCTATGATGTTTGTTTCAACATGTGTGAGTAGTATGCTTGTACGATGGCAGACAACTTGTGGAGCTCAACATGTAAGTGTCTCTGTTGATGTATGAAGATAATCATCATATGGCCATGGCCCATGAGATCTAGCTTTTCACTTGGAGATCTACTTCCGGAAGTACGATAGAAGAAGAGGAAGGAATTGTAAGAGTTTTGGTTTTGATTGAATCTCAACGATTGAGATGCTAAGTTTATTGCACAAGATTGGTGGGATACACATGGACATATTATTGGGATATACGAGTGTGACTTTCCTCTGGTGTTAACTCATGCTACGTACTGATGGTTTTAAAGAGGTTTTCTTCATGCTTCAGTGCTAATTATGATTATTTAAGATTCCTTTGAACCAAAGCGTATAGTGTGAAGATTTAAGTTTGAGTCTATCTCAGGTTAGGTTCATATTAATTGGTAGGAAAGTTCAAGTTGTAGGTATATGAATCACATAAATATAAAAGTTTTTAGTGTCATAATATTACTAAAGTAGGTTTTATCAGTTTTTTTTATTTTCTGCTATAAAATTATTGGTCACTTAGATTAGAAACGTTATCATATGTCGTATAATATATGTTTAGTTTTTAACTTTATGCTCCATGGTAATTTGTTCTTCTATTAGTGTTTTAAGATTATTGGTTTTTATGAGATGTTATCATATATCATAAATTTATGAGATGTCATATATGTTTAGTTTTATAATGATCTACGTTATCGTTGTAAATTTATGTTC